CACCCTCGGAGAGGTTCGCTGAGAGGCGGTCTCGGTGTCTCTTTTACGTCACCCCAGAGGCGGTCGTGGCGCGCTCGCTCAAGACGAAGCGCGGTCGGTTGGGCACTAAGATCTTCAATCTGTTCCGGTCGCGTCTGCGGTGGCAGTACCGCGCTGGCCTGATGAGATGCCGGGAGCTGAGGGGCCTGCCCGTCGTGCTCGCACAGGGCCACTCGCGATTCGGGACCTCCTCGGGGCCCGCAGAGGTCGAGACGCACCCGCACCAGTGGCTGGGCCCACGCTTCGAGAACGTCTGGCGGTGCGACGAGAACCACATGTGGAGGCGCGAGCACCTAGAAGTGTGCACGACGATCACCCACAACGGCGACTTCGACGGCTGGAAGCTGTACGACAAGGTCGTGCCCAATGGCATCCTGGGCCTCTTTCTGGAAAGGGCCCTGCACTGCAGCAGCGACGCAAAAGGCGATTCTCCGAAGCTGGCCGGCATGATGGACCTCCTCCTCTGCCAGGGCATGTGGCTCGCCTCCGTGCGCCTGGCGTTCGTGACCGAAGTCACGAAGCACGTCGATGAGGTCTTCGGCTGGGAACCACCGTCTCGAGCTGCTCCCAATCATGTCCCGCTGCCCGCGTCCTTTGCCCGCTGGGCAGGCGTGTTCGACCGCTTCTTCGGGGAAGCGTTGCGCGCTGGCGAGTCCGACGCTCACGAGCCCACGAGTAGGGTGGGAGGGCTCATGCACTCGAGCATGACGGTCAAAGGACAGTTTGCGCCTACGCGGGATGAGGTGAAGGCACTGGCTGACAAGATCGTCGAGTTCTTCGAGCAGCCGCAAAATGCAGCAGACATGCAGCCTCACGGGATCACGGGCATCCACCTCAAGAATTTTGTCCAGAGGGCCTGCGGGTACTTCTTCTGCATGGACCTCCTGAGCACCGTGCAGCTCTTCTTCCAGCGTGCGGAGGGCACCTTCGGGATCTCGGTCTCCTGCACCCTGTGGCCCGCATCCATCGTGCTCGCCAGCAAGGGCCAGCCCATCTCCCTGGGCATCGACCAGACGCGCCCGCTCGCGATCTGGTCCTCCGAGCCGAGCAGCCTCCTGGTCGGCTGGCCGGCCCTGGACGCCCGCGGCCTCCGGACCCGGGCCGCGCGGGCGCGCTGGGACCTCAACGACGCGACCGGGGAGGCCTTGGAGCTCAGGATTGTGCAGGGAGGCACGGCGGACCAGCACTTGGCCAAGCTGAGGGGCCCCGTGAGTCTCGGCGCGGCCGCCAGCTCGCACTTCTTCCCGATGCCCACGCTGGACACCCAGAAAGTCATGGACCACCACCTCCTGGTCCGCGGCGTGAGCCTGGACTCGGCCGCCAGGCCCCTCACGATGGGCGCGTTCGTGGCGCGCTGGGTGCTGCTGCAGGCCCCCCCGCCGAGCCGGAAGCTGGGCAGCTCCCAGGTCGGGCGAAGAGAACTATGCACATGCACCGATCCTGACAACGTCCATCCTTGACCCAGGATCGGTGCATATACCGTCCTGGCCAAGGCAGGAGGGCGTATGCACCGATTCTGGGCTCAGGATGGGCCTGGCCAGAATCGGTGTATGTGCATAATTCTCGTTCCTCTGCCAGGGGGGGCTGGATCCCGTGGCTCGGGACCTGCACGACGTGCCCTCCGTGCTGCAGCAGGTCGAGGACGCGTGGAAGGACCGCGCCTCGCTGAACCACCAGAGCGGCCGCAGGTTCGGCAGGTGCCTCGCGGAGCTGCTGGCGAGGATAAAAGGGGCCCCAGAACACACAAATTCATACACACAAATAAAAAGATTCCCCATCTTTTCCCATATTTTCTAAGTTTTGTCTTCCCCCCCACTTCCCATATTTTCGTGTATTTTCTTGGGGATCGACGATTAATTGTGTCTGTGTGTTTTTCCCCTCCTGAGAGGAAGCGGCGCGAGGGCGGCGGCGTCGGCGACAGCATCGACGTCCTCGTCTTCGGCATCGAGAACAGCCTCTGGCTGGGGCAGCAGTTCGCCGCCGACCTCAAGCGCATGATGCCGCTGCTGAACGTCACGGCCCTGAGCTCCAACTGGCTGCTCGGCATGCTCCAGGAGTCGGGGGAGCGTAAGGCCCGGGTTTGCCAGGACTCGGGTTCGCCATCGTTTTCTGACGACCGCGCCTCGGATTTTGGCGAGGAGGAGTTTCGTGGGATGTCTGCAGCGGGAGGCCTCGTCAAAATGCAGGCTCGGCCTCGTCATTTTCGTTGACGACCGCGTCGGGGATTTTCGAGTCCCCTGTACCCAGGTCTTACGTCCCCCTGACAGGAGGCCCAGGGGCACCTGGAGCCGAGGAACTTCGCCATCTCGCGCCTCTCCTTCGGCCTCTCGCAGGGGGCCCTGGTCCTCGGCATCAGCCACAGCGGGACCACGTACCCGACCGTCTGGGCGGCCCGCGCGCTGCACCGCCGGCACGGCGAGCGCGCCAACCTCTTCGCCATGTCGTCGCAGTTCGACACCGTGCTCGCCAATCCAGCTGCACCGTCGTGCTCGTCCGCCACCGCGGTCGGGGGGGGGGATGAGCTGATGGGCTCGGTCTTGAAACTCACGGGAGTCCTGGCGTGTTCTCGAAGCTCCATCTCTATAGCGGGTGCATCAGCGTGCGCTGGCGTCTGGTGGTCGATGGGACAGCGCCGATTCAGCACCGATGGCAGCGTCGATTCAGCGTCGGCTCGCAAGAGCCAGCAAGATGGCATGGGAGGCCCCCATGAGTTGCCACAGACAGTGGGGGAGGTTCCATGTAACGCCCAGCCTGTGTTTTCGTTTTTGGTCGCACGTTTTCTTGAACAGAGTCTCGCCATAAAGTGGCCTTCGGCCGACTACATGAGACCTCGAGAGTGCTTCTCGGGGCCTCCTGGACACCTCTGGGACTTGGGCCTTCGCGCGGCCGTTTGGGTGTCTTGGGGGCACATAGGGGGCCCCCTGGTTGGGACCTCTGGGCCCGTTTTTGGGAAGCCTCTCGGGGGGCACTCGTGGGCCTCTCGCGGGTCTTCTCGAAGGCCTCTTTGTTGCCTCGGGACGACTCTTAGAGGCGTCTCAGGCCCCTCTTGGGGGGCTTCGAGCTTCGTTTGGCCACCCCTTGAGGGCCTCTCGGGTCGTCTTGGGCGCTCTCCGAAAATTACAGGCCGTATGTGAAAATCACAACAACAACAACAACAACAACAACAACAACAACAACAATCATTTTACCCGAACGCGTGGTGTTCTCCCCAGTGCCAGGGTTTTCATACGACACCAGGCAATACCCCCACTTCGTGGGGGGGCATTACAAGCTCTACCAAATATCCAAACGACTCTTCGCGACCACCCAAACCCAGCTTCCCGCCCTATGACGTTGGGACACTTCACTTCGTGGCGTGCGGACGACCGTGGCTACTACACTGGCGTGGGGTACACACCCACAGAACCCAATGGTTTTTGGAGATTTCGGCGTGCGCGCGCGAAGAAAAAACGAATGTGTCCCGCATGGTATTATTTGACAGGGATGATGGCCCTGGCAGGTGCGCAACCGTTGTCGCAGAAGTTCGAAAAAGTTGCTCGCAAAAGCCCGTTTGACAGAAATGTTTAAAAAGTGTTGGGTTTCCTACGAATCCGCAAGAGCGCGCGGGATGAGATTTTGACATTTTTTTGTTGAAAAACCATTGGTTTTTTGATGTTTTTATGTTAAAATCGCTCCGAACACTAAGCTTTTGGAAGGATTTCGTCTTGCGCGCGCGAATGTCCACTTTACCTTATTTTTTGCAAGGGATTCTTGAAATTTGATTATATTAGAACAAGAAATGTCATTTTATAGTGTTTTTTGCAAGGGAAAACGGATTACAACAAAACAACCGGATCTTGATCACATCGAATTACCTGAGGCTTCCTCACGAAAATGATGAAAATGTAGCTGCGGCCTAGGCGCGGCGGGGGGGGCGCGCACCAGGGGGCCCAACAATAATTATTCTTTAGAATTAATAATGTTCAACAACAACAACAACAACAACAACAACCACAATCATTGGCTCTGAATAAAAAGATAAGCAATCTCAAGCGGGAGCGTTGTTATTGCTGGGAGCCGCGCCGATGAGAGAAAGAGTAGCGCGCCAGTCCAGCGTAAAACGGGAAGAAGTCTCGAGCGGGAGCGTTGGTTTTGTTGGGGCGGCGGTTTTCAGCGGCGAGCAACAGCACCAGCTATGAGTAACATTTGGAGGAAGCCTCGAGCGGGATCGTTGCTTTTGCTGGGGGCGGCGCCCACTCAAAAAGAGAGTAGGGCGCCAGTCCAGCTGAGAACGGGAGGAAATCTTGGGCGGGAGCGCTGCTTTCGTTGCGGCAGCGGTTTTCGGCGGGGAGCGAGAGCACCGGCTCTGAGTAAAAACGGAGGAAGTCTCGAGCGATTGTTGGGGGCCGGTTGTGGCGCCCCCCAAACCGCTCGAGCGTGAGCTTCGTTTTCGATGAAAATGTAGCCGGCGCCGAGACGAGAGCGCCAGGGCACCCGGGGGGTTAACAGTAATACATTCAGCAACATCAACAACAAACATGTTACCATCATGCGCCATGCTTCCACGTGTCACATGCATCCTTCTGGATGCCACACCCCATCGTGGGGGATTTTTCTGGCATGCGGGGCCCGATATTCCCTCACCCAGAGATCCCGCCCAAGAAAGTATTGCCACCACCTCTTCTGAGGAATCTCGACAACCGCAGCTCGGGCGGCACATCGTCATCGCAATCGCCTCCGCAGGTGTGCAACAACGGCGTGACCCGCAAGACGATCTGATACAGGTGCAAGCCCAACTGGGTCGCCGAGGGCTCCGAGGAGGCGCTTGCCGGGCGCGAGAAGGCCGAGGACCTTGCCTGGGTGGGCCCACGTGGAGGCGGTGCTAGACCGCCCAGTTGAAAGCTTGGAGGTTGAGCCAGCGGTCGGGTTGGGACCGCTCAGCGGCACGCGCTTCTTCAGGAGGCACGGCGATCCGGTGGAGGGCTACACCTTCCACGTGGACCCTAGACGCCCAGACTTTCTCAGTCGCAGCGTTTGGAGGCCTGTGCGTGACACCTTGAAGTTCGCCGAGCAGTTCTGGCATGCTCATGAGTTCGTTCGACGACTTCCTAACGGCGTGGAGGTCCACCGATGCCGTGGGCACGAGATCTCGGGCAGCGGGGTGGACCCGCTCCCAGCAGAGCTGCGGGGCAAGCCGCTGAAGGGCCGCCGGCTGCGCGAGGTGTTCAGCGGAGTGGAGTCTGCGAAGGAGGCCGGCGCGATGCTATCGCGCATCTGGGAGGCAGCAGGAGGCTACGCCGAGAGGTTCGACAGTAGGGTCGACGAGCGGATGGACTTCCTCAGCCCAGCTGCGCGCGAGTGGAAGCATAAGCACTACGGGGGCCCTTGCGATGTCGACCACTTCGCGATCCCGTGCACCAACTTCAGCATCGCGAAGACGTCGCCCGAAAAGGTCAGGTCTCTGGACAGTCCATGCGGGGGCGAGACGAACGAGGAGGTGGTCTACTACAACAAGTTGGCTCGTGCGGTCTGCTACTTCGCGATGGCGCTCATGGCGAAGGGCGCTGTGGTTACCTTCGAGAACCCTTTGATGCATGATGGGCTTCGACGGCTTCGAGGTCGTTCGCAGCGACCGCTGCCGGGGCGGGGCGCCCTGCCAGAAGCCGCAGGTCTTCGCCGGGAACGCGCCCGCGCTGAAGGACATCGGGCGGCTGTGCAACCACGCCAAGCACCAGGTGATGCTGACAGGCGCGATGGCGAGGAGATCTGCCCCGTACCCTCGCGCACTTTGCGAGCGGATCGCGGTCGGCTGCGTCGAGGCGCTGAGCGCGAGTGGCCGACTGGGCGTGGACTGCTCCGAGCAGGCGAACGAACCGTTGCATGAACAGTCTCGTCACCGAGGGCGTCGTCGACCGCTTCCCATCGGGCGCGTCCTTCAGTCTCCTCGTGGCCGAGGGGGCAGCGCCGAATTATTCAGCTTCGTCATGGGGCTGCTCGAGCAACTCCGCTTACTTCTGATCCACCTGGACCTGCCGCGGTTCCTGACGTTCACGCTGACAGGCCTCAGTTGCGGGTCGAGATCAAGAAGGCGAGCCAGTTCTACGTCCCAGGTAGCGTGGGCAAGGTGATCAAGCGCAAGACCATGGACGCCAGGACAGGCGAGATCCTCGAGGATATAGACATCAACGAGGACACGACCGCGTCTTACTTGCAGCGAGGCTTGGACAAGCGGCGCGGCATTGTCGTCGAGGTGTGGCATGCTGCTGCGGAGGGAGCCGCTGCTGCTGATGACCTTCCACCAGCGCCACCCGCGCCGAAGGCCTTCGACGAGCTGACCGAGTTGATACCTTCGAGCCCATCTTCAATACAGCGGGCTCAGGTCATCCCGCTTCTGCAGAAGGATGAGGACTTCGCGGACATCTACGCTGCCCGTGTACTTCTTCGCCGCTGCGAGGACGAGAACCGCATGATTGACAATGGTAAGATGCACAAGGACTTGAAGGCGCACCTTGCTGCTCGAGGTGTTGGCGGTCGCCAAGCGGCACGGCGATCCTCTGCGGCACTTCGCATGATATGATGGGCGGCTACAGCTACAGGGACGGGCTTCTACAGGGACGAGTGGGGCTCGACGTCGTTGAGCTTCGTTCCGAAGGGTGTCTTGCCTCGCGGTGGTCTTCGAGCTTTTCGCTACAATGGCGGTTGTACTGGCTGCCGTTGAGGAGGCAGCTTCTTCTCTACTACCACGTCAGCGAGACTATGGGCACGCACAGCTCCGCCGAGGACACCTCGGCCAAGCTCGCGAAGCAGTTCGTGTGGCCAGGGATGGAGCACGACGTTCAGAAGTGGATCTCGTCGTGCAGCGTTTGCCGGGTGGTGAAGCCGGCGCGCGGCTTGACTGCCGATGCGAGGATTGAGCTCTACGGCACGCCCTTCAGGCTGATTGGGATCGACGACCTTGGCCCGATCTCGCCAGAGTCGGAGGGCTGCAGCTACATCTTACACGCGGAGCGCGCCTTCTCGCGCTACGCTTGGTTCAAGGCAGCGCCTGATAACGCGGCTTTAGCGTGGGCGAAGTTCTTGGTGGAGAACGTCATGTTCGACCTGGCTGGCTTTCCGCCGGTGCTGCGGAGCGACAGGGGCAGTGCGTTCACGAGCGAGATCGCGGCCCAGATCAACGATCTGCTCGGGGTCAAGCACTCGCGGGGCAGCGCCTACCACCCAGAGTCGCAAGGCTTTGGTGGAGGCGCGTCGCCAGAAGATTAACAGGATTGTGGTGAGTTACTGTAGCTCGTATCCTGAGCTCTGGGCGCGCTGGGTACCCTTGGCGCAGTGGTGCCTTCGCGCGACGCCGATGCTTCGCCGCTCTGGCAGGTCTGCTTTCGAGATCGTGACTGGCACGCTGCCGCAGGGGCCGATCGAGGAGGTCTTCAGGAGGCTCGAGCCAGGCAAGGCGCTCGAGCCCGGCCACTACGTGCGCGACCT